GATTCCGGTCAAGGGCATGTACATTAGTTGCGGGCACATCCCCGGTGGGGGGTGTGCAAGAGGCAGCTGGTCGATGTTTCCCTCATCGACGGTTCTAGCTCTCTCTCTCTCTCTCCCTTCCTCTCTGTAAAAAATCAATAAAATATATTTTAAAAAATTAAAAATAAATAAACACACAAATTTTTGCACTTGTCCTTAAAAAGCACCGAGAATTCTGTGTTATTTGGTGTGTGTGTGTGTGTGTGTGTGTGTGTGTGTGTTTTGGGAGGGGTCTTGTTAAATTCTATTGAAAGGCCAATAATTAAGTAGAGACAAATCAGTGTGTTCCTAAAGCATTAAACAAAGTTTTTTTGTTTTGAGATCCCTGGAGTCTGTTTCAAGCTGAACTGTAGCCTAATGTAAATTATGTTTGATGCATAACACTAAAATGTTAGGAGACCACAAGATTAAAGCAGTGCTCCGTGATTACTCAAAGTTCTACTGGAGGATTATCGTTTCATCACTGCCTGCTACTTACCTTGGTGCTATTTTGTAATTGACTCTTGTTTATAGTACAGTGGACATATTTCTTTCCCTGAGTACCTACCTGGGCATATTTCTCTCCCTGAGTACGTTTTAGATTGTAAATTCTTTTGAATCTCGACCTTCATCAGCACTAAATTCAGAAAAGGGCTGCTGAGTTAATGTGATGAAATCCATCAGCTATGCATCTGGGGAAAAATTTGGGTGGTATTATAAAATACCTGAGAGCCTGGCCTGCAAGGCTCAGTGGTTGAGCATCGACCTATGAACCAGGAGGTCACAGTTGGATTCTTGGTCAGGGCCCAGATTGCGGACTTGTTTCCCAGTGTGGGGCGTGCTGGAAGCAATGGGTCAATAGTTCTCTGTCATCATTAATGCTTCTCTCTCTTCCTCTCTGAAATCAATAATTTTATTTTTAAAAAAGTATAAAATATGCCAGGTGCATTAAAAAATACCTGATCGAGGAAGCTCTAATCCAATTATTAGGTGTGCCAGTAAAATAAGAAAATGAACAAAAGGCTTGATTGCAATCTGTGAGAACACAAAATTCAAGGAAAAAACTGGAAGTTTTGAAAACAGATTTAATAACATTGCCGACCAAATCCTGCACACAATCTGGATAGCTGCAGTGTTTGAATTGGTCATTGGAATCAGGACTTTTAAATTAAAAATATATTTTCTGTCTTAAGAAAACTGGTCATGTAATTGGTGCAGTCCTTGACTTGAAGCAACTCTACCTTTTCTTAATTTTTTGAGTAATCAGCAAAACAGTTATAAACATAATTCATTATTTAACTAATTCATTATTTCATTATTTAACTAAAACATAATTAGTTAAAAATAAGACCTCTTTTGCAGGATGAATATTAAGGTAAAGTAAAAGTGACTGTGAAGATTACATGTCAAAAAAGGGAATCTTGTTCATTTGAAGAGACCCCTTCCCAAATCTAGGTCAGAACAAGAAAGTATATTAAAAAAAAATCATTCCAAAATATCATGAATGCCATTTCTTAGTCCTTAAATGACAACAAAAAACATAGTTCTCAGTATTACATTTTCTTTCAAGGCAAAATCTTGTAAATCCAAAGTAGAAAAGATAAAGATATTGTTTAGGGCATTTCAAATTTGAAATGAATGTGTTGATTTATTTTTTAAGAAGCTCAAAATAAAGAATTATATATTTATCTCTTACTTCCTTAGGTTTGAGCATCTTCAGTTAAACTAGAAATACCATTTTAGAAAAAAAATATTTATACTCCAAAGAGTAACTGAAACAACCAAGATTCTTCAATGTATCTTCAAAATTAAACACTTTTCCTTAGTGATATATGTATTTCAAATGCATGATCACACTTCATTATTTTAGCTATTGGTCTTCTAACCTTGTTCAGAAAACAGTTAAGTCATTCACTGTTTTCTAAAGGTATATCTTTTAATAACTTTGTAAAGCTAATAAAATATTTTCTGACTTCTTACTCAAAGGGGTAAATTAAATGTCTTTTGGAATGTAAGCTCCTTATTTGCTACTGTATTCACAGGGCATAGCACAATAGCTAGAACATGGTAGGCACTCATTAAATATTTCTTGTTGAATGAATAAGATGACTTTCTGTTTTAAATGTCTGTAAAGTCCATGAAATATGAGAGGAATCATTATTCAGATAGTATCTTGACTTATAAAAGTTAACCATGTCCAAATTCTAGCTTGATTGTCGTTGGAAGGAAGAAATTATTTCTAACCTTTATTCTTAAGTTCATATAAACACTACTCAGTCAAGAGCCAATGAACGCAAGCATTAAAAGAACCTCTCTCTCTTGCTGTTGTACTTTAAAACTGCTTGCATGGCCCTGGCTGGTTTGGCTCAGTGGATAAAGCCTGGGCCTGAGGACTAAAGGGTCCCGGGTTGGATTCTGTTCAAGGGCACCGGTACCTTGTTTGCAGGTTCCCAGGCAACCAACCAATCGATGTGTTTCTCTCACATCAATCTTTCCGTCCTTCTTCCACTCTCTCTAAAAAAAAAAAGAAAAAATAAATGGAAAAATATCCTCGGTGAGGATTAACAAAACAAAAATTAAACAATAAAACTGCTTGCATGCACTTAGAGGAAAATTTATAGTTGTTCTTATTCAACTTTGTACTCTCTTTATTCCATGTAAAATGCCCGTTTCCACATAATGTCATAATATCACTCCTTGTGCAGACCAGTAAAATTTTGTTGTAGGAAATGAAACTTTTCTTGTGATGTGTTTTTAACTGGGCCAAGACTGGAAAACGTGTGAATCTGTTAAGTAAAATAACAGTCATTTCCCCAAATATCAAAGTGAACGTCCTCCAGATGTGGCGGTTTGGATGAGGGAATGTAAATAAGAGAGAAGAACCAACCCATTTACTTCCAAGTGTAAATATTATTCCTCGTTTGTCTCCGTAGTAACAAACGTTCCAATGTAAACAATCCATTTCGAGAAGGGCAGAACAGCTCAATTTGGTCCCATTTGTTGTACTGATACCCTATCACAAGATGATCGCTGGAAAGAGCACCACCACTGCGGAGAATACGTAATCCACTTCTTAAAAATCGGAAACATTACTGGATTGCATATAGGAATTTAAAAAAATTCCCCAAGGTCTTGATCGTCACATTGTTGGATCACGAACACCCCGAATCTCCTTACTACAAATGCGTCCGATAGAACTGTAATGTAATTAATTATTTTATGTCTACACGGTGTGCCCTACACACCCAGCACAAGGGCAGACCCGGAGTAAAGAGTGAAACCTCCTGAATTACTGAAAGGGGAGGAGACGCGGAGCACTGCCCTGGCCCGGCGAGACGTCACGAGGCTGGGGGGTCAGGCTAATCGTCAGCGCTGGAGACTACGAGCAGACCCCCCGCGCACCTCGGGGAAGACGGGACGGACGGGCAGACTGCGGAGAACGGGTGGGACGCGCGGCCACCGGGCCCGCGGACAAAGGCGGGGTGGCCACGCCCACGAGGCGGAATCTCTGACGTAAGGGGCGGGCCTGTGCGCCGGCCGGTCGTCCAGGCAACGGGATAGCCTGTGCCTCGGATTTAAAAAAAAAAAAAAAAAAAGCTCCAAATCTGGGAGTTTGGGCTGCGGAGAGGAGCCACTGGGGAGGGGAAGAGGCCGAGACAGCACAGGGAGAGAGACCCTAGGATCCCGGCGACGCCTGGAGACGCCTGTCCGGCTTAGGTCTAGATGTCTTTCCCGAAGGGAGGAGCTGAGATGGAGAGCAGTTTGCAGAGCACAGGCTGCAAGGGGTCGAGGTCACCAGCCCTCGGCGAGGAAAGGGCCCGGGCCGGAAGCAGTTCCCCTCGCGGGCCCCTTTGTCTCCAGGCCGCTCGCTCGGTGCTGGGCTCTGACCGGTGACACAAAGGGAGCGCGGTGAGGACCGCGCAGGCGCGCCAGCCGCCGAGCTTGCTGGGAGTGGTGGTCCGGCCACTACAGGGTAGGTGTCCCGCGCGGGCCAGCGGCCACCCCGGCCGCCCAAGTGCGCATGAGCCACCACTTCCGCCCCGCTCGGACCGCCCAGTCTCCACCCCTCCGCAGGACGCGGGTTTCTAGTACTGTGTAGTAGTTAGGAGCCCTGGAGGCGGGTGAGCCGGCTCGTCCCGCCTCCTCTTCATGCTGATTGGGCCGCTGACATGAAGGAGGCCGTGCACTGGCTCTCGGAGCTGTCCGTCTGCTCCGAGACGTACATATATACCCCTGCTGCGCGGTGGGCACTAGAGCTTGAGGGGCTGAGTGGGAAGACCGGGGAGGCCCCCTTGGGCGTGCGATGGTCTCGAGGCGGCGGTCCCGCGGCAGGGCCGGTTCCGCCTGGGTCTTGGGCGGGTCCGGCGGCCACCCCGCGTCACCCGGCAGGCACGCAGTGGTGCCGAGCATGCGGCTCTGCCTCCCAAGTACGAAACTCGTAGTAAAGTTTGCGCCTCCTCGGCCGCCTCTTGCCCCCGCGACCCCCGCCGCCCCGGCAAAGGTGACAGACAAAGCCACACCCCCGCGCGGCAGGGCCGGTGAGGGGCGTGAATGCGGCGGGGGCGGGGCCCGTGGGGAGGGGGCCGAGGGGGGTGACGGAGCGCATGCGCCGTGCGGGCGGCCGAATGTTTCCCAAGTGTTTGAAACTGGTATTTGGGTTTTCCACGTTGGACAAGTGCGGCGCGGCGGGCAGCGCGCTCCCCTTCCCGCGCTCGCTCGGCCCGGCCCCGGCCCCTGCGCCGGGGTGCGCGCCCGCACGCCCGCCCCGCGCCCGAGGCCGCGGAGCGCTGGCCCGGCCCGCCGCGCCGGGTCCCCGGGCCCAGGCGGCGCGGCTCGCAGATGTAGCGGCGCGGGGCCGGCAGGAGGGGGGGACGCCGGCGGCGGCGGGCGGGAGGTTTGCATTTTGCAGGGCTGGGCTCCGAGGGGGCGGGGGCTGGAGGAAGCGGAAAGCCGCGCCGAGCCGCCGGGGATCTCGGTGAACCATGTTGAGCCCTGCCAACGGGGAGCAGATCCACCTGGTGAACTATGTGGAGGACTACCTGGACTCCATCGAGTCCCTGCCTTTCGACCTGCAGAGGAACGTCTCGCTGATGCGGGAGATCGACGCGAAATACCAAGGTACGGCGGGATGGATGGGCGGGGGCGGCCGCTCCGCTCCATCCCCGCGGGTCGGTCGCGGCTCGCCGCGGGGCCGCGCGGGTCGTCCTGCTCCCTTTCCCGGGGAGCCCTGGGCCCTTTGGCGGCGGCTCTGCCCCGGCAAGAACAAAAGGTCTTGGAGCGCCTTTGATTCTCCAAGGTCCTTGTGCGCAAAGCCGGGACACGGAGGAGGAAGGAGAAACGAGAGGTCTCAATGCCAGGCTGCGCGAGCAAAGCGCTCTTTGTAGTGAAGTGACGAGGCGGGGTGCTGCGGGGGAGGGGGCTCCGGGGCGCAGGCTCCGGCGCAGGAGGAGGGATGTGCCGCGTTCGCCGGGGCGGAGGGGCGCGGGGATGGGGCTCCGCGCAGGGCTGCCGGGAGGGCGCTGCGGACCAGGGGTCCCCGGCCCTGCTCGCCATCTCCGGGGCTACCTCCACCCAGTCCCGAATCTGTTATATAAAGTCTAGGGTCGGTACCCTGCGCGGTTGTAGCCTCGGTCGCCCCCACCCAGTCCCCCTTCCCCCCTCCCGACCCTCCCGCGGCGCTGGACACCGAGCGGGGGACGACATGGCCGGGTGTAGTTTGCGGAGGGCCAGGGCTTTATTCCGGGCGTACGGTGGCGAAGGGAGGGGAGGATGAGGCAAGTCGACCATCTGTGCTGTGCTCGGGGGGCCGTGCGCGAAGACCAGGGGGTTCGGAACGGACCCTGGCAGGGGGAGAGGACCTGTGGGTCATCGTCGTTCGCAGCCCCGGCCACCCAGAGTGCCGGAGGGAGAAGCGGAGGGTTCATGTCCGCTGGGAATTGTCGGCTGTTGGGGAAACTTTCCTGCCAGGTCAGGCATAGCATGGTGGGGCTCTGTTTGGAACGTAGGTCGTCACTCGGGAGTTTACTCATGTTTACAAGGCTGCGCAGCAGGGAAACGGAAGAGTGGGGGGGGGGGGTGGAAAGCCCTCAGCTGCCGCAAAAGGCACAGAAACCCCTTCCCAGCGAGGCGCCCCTGCGCGCTCTACCAGAAACTCGCTTTCGCAGCGACATTTATAAGGGGCTCATTAGCATATTGTGGACGTCCCGCTTCGACCTTCTTTTGATTGGCTGTGGCGTCCCCGTGGAATGTCCTTATCAGTCCGCTCCCGAGCCATTGGCCTCCGGGCCGGATGAGGGCGGGCCTTGCGCTGTGACTGGCACCGATCTGTGTTTCCGCGGCCTTCTTTTTTTCTCTATCGTGGAGGGGCCGGGAGGAGGGAGGAGGTTGAATTGATTTGAATGTCTTCGGGTCGCCCGGCTTCCGGCCTTGGATTGGCTATTGGTGCTGCGGGGTGGTCCGTGTTGCCCAGTTCCATCCTCTGATTGGCTCCCCGTCCGGCCTCCGCCTTTGGCCCGATGACCCCCCCATAGGCGGTGGTTCCCGGGGCGTGGTGCGTCGCGCCGCTGGACACCTCCCCATTGGCCTGGAGGTGGCCCCGCCCTCGTCCTGGGGGGGGACCCGAGCCAGGCCACTTCCGGCCGCGGAGCAATGGCGGCGCCCCGGTGCCGGGGGCAAGGCTTTTTAGCTGCGTTCCTGGCTCCACCGAGGACGAAGTTGATGTGTCCCACCCAGGCCCCGGGGACCCGCGGGACAGGCCAGCGGCCGCGAGGAGCGGGGGAAACGTGAGTGGCCTGTGCCCGGGAGGGAGTTCTCGGTGGTTGGTTGGCGCCTGGGATGGCTCGGGTGCGCAATGAAGAGCCCGGGTTATTTGTGGTCAGTGGCATGTTAATTAGCACTTTACCAGATGTGAAAAGTGTCTCCTAAAAATTTCCGATCGTCCACACCGTACCCCTTAAAGACCCTTTCTTCTTCATTACTATGAAGAAACCTGTTCAGTTAATACATGCTGTGGTCCTTATTTGGCTTCTGCAGAGAAAATGAATCCCACCCCCACCCCGGCACATCTGAAGCCAGTGCTGTTGAGTGAGCTGTAAAGCCTACCCATCAGGGTAATAGTCATAACACATTTGGTTGTCTCTTAACTATAAATGCAGCATAGTTCTCTTAACTATAAATTAAGCTTTTTTATATTTTTTTATTAAAGACCTGTATTGTAAGTCAAAGTTGCTCAAGTCTTTTGCTTATGCATCAGTTGGAGATTCATTCATAAGGATGGATTCTAATCATAATTTCCCAATTTTAAATGGTATTTGAGGTTATTCTTGAATTATTGGATTCAAATTATTTTTGAATTATTTTTCAGGTGTTATTTTTTTAAATCCCATCCACCATAGAAGTCAGCTTCATAAAGAACTTAAGTGCAAACCTTACTTAAAAATTAAAATACGTTTCTAATCATTGGAACGGTCGGATTAAATTTTGCTGCATTCTTATTTACACCTTAAAGTGTCTTTCATGGTACCACTGCTTTCCTACAGTAATGTTGCTGTGCAGCATTTCTAGATGAGAGGGCCAACAGCAGTTTGAGCTGATGGGGCTGAAGAAATGAGTATCCTGGCCAGATGCCTGCCTGTTAGCCCTGGTGTTCCTCTTTACAGACATTTGTATTTACACAGCTTTGTTAACAGAGTACTTTGCTTGGGGCATCCAAGACATACATGCCATTGTGAAGGTAACAATTACTTATTGCTAATTTTGTGATGTTCCATTTCTTTTCCCACAAGCGAGGCTTCACGTGACTGTGAGCTTGCTTGTGATATAAAATAAGCTGTATTTATTAAAATTTTTAATTAGCCATATGGTAGAATTATTCTCTTTTCTATGAAATCTTAAAACTGTCTCTAGAAATTTGGCTACTTATTGAGCCAAATGATAGTCTGTAATGTACAGTTTGTTTAAAAATAAATGGTAGAGCCGAAACCGGTTTGGCTCAGTGGATAGAGCATCAGCTTGAGGACTGAAAGGTCCCAGGTTCAATTCCGGTCAAGGGCATGTACCTTGGTGGCAGGCACATCCCCATTAGGGGATGTGCAGGAGGCAGCTGATCGATATGTCTCTCTCTCTCTCATCGATGTTTCTAACTCTCTTCCTCTCTGTAAAAAATTAATACAATATATATTTTTTTAAAAAGTAGTACAGCTGAAACTGGTTTGGCTCAGTGGTTAGAGCGTCGGTCTGCGGACTGAAAGGTCCCAGGTTCGATTCCAGTCAAGGGCATGTATATTGGTTGCGAGCACATCCTCGGTAGGGGGTGTGCAAGAGGCAGCTGGTCGATGTTTCTCTCTCATCGATGTTTCTAGCTCTCTATCTCTCTCCATTCCTCTCGGTAAAAAAATCAATAAAATATATTTTTTTAAAAAGTAGTAGAGCTCATAGACGACGGGTGAGTTGGTTTTTATTTTTTTATTTTTTTAAAATATATTTTATTGATTTTGTACAGAGAGGAAGTGAGAGATAGAGAGCTAGAAACATCGATGAGAGAGAGTCATCAATCAGCTGCCTCTTGCACACCCCCCACTGGGGATATGCCCACAACCAAGGTACATGCCCTTGACCAGAATCGAACCCGGGACCCTTCAGTCCCCAAGCCTACGCTCTATCCATTGAGCCAAACCGGTCCCGGCGGTAGAAACTCATTTTAAGTTGAAATAGAACTTGGGTTAGGTTGGGCATAGCTATTTATTTTCAGAATTATTTACTATAAGAGACTGTAAGGCTGTGGCATTCATCCTTTCTGGTGAGAGACTGTCTACATTGTTTCTCTAGGAAATACCTTCAAAGTTATTTTAGTTTAAGAATATAGCCTGGAAAATAATACTTACAGCTTAGTTAAGCTTCAGTGTTTGCCTAAGTTCATATGTTTACCCTAGTTTTAAATTTATCTCTTAAAACTATTTGGAGATAAAATCTAGGTGATAGCCACATTTTATACATTTCTCCCCCATTTCCACACACATTTCCTATGGAGAGTAGGATTCTCTGGTTTTGAGAGCCTGCAAAAGGTTTTCAGGAGAAAAGTCTAAGACTATGTAACTGTACTATTTGGGAAAATAACTGGCGATTTCTACCTTTGTATTTAGGCTTTTGGCAAGAATGTTTATTTTCCTTATTTCAGTCAGATTTTTTAACAGCTTTTATTTCTTGAGAAATTGCCTAATTACATTTTAAATTCATGTATACTGTCTTCCTGACTGTCTGAGGAAGTTTAAATTTATTCTTAATTTATTTTTAGTAATATTTTACAATCTATAGCTACAAACATATTATTGTTTTTAGAAGTAAATGCAAAAAAAAAAAATCAGCAAAGCCAGGTTGTCAAACCTTTCTTGTTTTCAGTAAGACAGAGAAATAACATGCTAGGATGAAAATGATGTGACTGATAAATTAAAGCTCTGGGTTATAAGTAACATTTATTTTTATTATTTTATAAATCCTCACCGAGGTATTTTTCTTTTGCTTTTTAGAGAGAGTGGAAGGGAGGGAGGGAAAGATAGAGAAATATTGATATAAGAGAGACACATTGATTGGTTGCCTCAGGCCTGAGCCTCAGACTGGACCAGGGATGGAACCTGCAACCCAGGTTCGTGCCCTTGACCAGAAATTGAGGACCTTTCAGTGTTTTAGCCAACACTAACTACTGAACAACACCAGCCAGGGCCATAAGTAATATTATATATATGCTGTAATCGCATAGGGTGTTATAAACAGTACATAAAATAAAAGGAATAAAGGCCTGTAATTTAAACAATGGAAATGTAGAACATAATCACTAATTTTATTGAAAATAAAAATTTGGACCCTAGCGCTTCATCTAAATGTGAACTTTTCCCCTAATTGCCCATCCCAGGAGTATTTGTTACTTATGCTTCTGAACACACACACACACAGAATCCCTTGGAGAACTTTGCTAAATGAGAGAACTGTGTTGACATTTGTATTTAGTTCCAGGGAATTTTTTTCAACAGGAAAAAGAAAAGGTCTGCTGAGAAAGGATATAAAGTTATAAGATTTCTCATACTAAGAAGCCTTGCATTGATTATTTCTGTCCTTTGCAATTACATTTTCACAGAATAGAAATTAAATAAAAGCCTTGATGGTGTTTATAGTGTGGGTGTAATGCTTATTTTTTCCTTTGCAGAAATCCTGAAGGAATTAGATGAGTACTACGAGAGGTTTAAACGGGAGACGGACAGCAACCAGAAGAGGAGAGTGTTGCACTGCATTCAGAGAGCCCTGATCCGGAGCCAGGAGCTGGGTGACGAGAAGATCCAGATCGTGAGTCAGATGGTGGAGCTGGTGGAGAACAGGACCAGGCAGGTGGACAGTCACGTGGAACTCTTTGAGGCACACCAAGAGGTCAATGACACCACTGGCCACAGTGGCAAAGCTGGCCAGGATAAGTCCAAGAACGAGACAATCATGCAGGCAGAAAAGCCCAATAACAAGAGGTCTCGGAGACAGCGCAACAATGAAAATCGGGAGAATGCAGCCAATAATCACGACCACGACGACATCACCTCAGGAACACCTAAGGAGAAGAAAGCAAAGGCCTCCAAGAAGAAGAAACGTTCCAAGGCCAAAGCAGAGAGGGAAGCATCCCCTGCAGACCTTCCCATCGACCCAAATGAGCCCACGTACTGTCTGTGCAATCAGGTCTCCTATGGAGAAATGATCGGTTGTGACAATGACGAGTGCCCCATCGAGTGGTTCCACTTCTCCTGTGTAGGACTGAATCATAAACCAAAGGGCAAGTGGTACTGTCCCAAATGTCGAGGGGAGAATGAGAAAACAATGGATAAAGCCCTGGAGAAATCCAAAAAAGAGAGGGCTTATAACAGGTAGTTGGTGGACCTTGTTGAACAGGGAGGAGAACTAAGCCAGTGTATTTATTACATTGCCACCTTTGGTGAGGCGCAAAGACTGTACAATGTATATTTTTAAAGAATGTTAGAAAAGGAGCCATTCCTTTTGTAGGGATGGCAGTGATTCTCTGCCTTTTGTTTTCGTTGGTACACGTGTGTAACAAGAAAGTGGTCTGTGGATCAACATTTTAGAAACTACAAATATAGGTTTGAATTAAACACTCAAGTGAGTCTCAGACTGTTGTTTCTTTTTCTTTTTTTGGCTGGGAAGTTGACTTGGAAGCAACCTAACACATTAAATGTAGAAGAAAAGATTCATTCAGCTATTGTTTTATTTTAACAAAATTTTTTAAAACATTAGCCAAGTTGCTAAATCTTCTTGCTATCATAATATATATCCATATAACAATTCAATAAAAAGGTTTCAAGTTTGAAGATTATTTTATGAAAAGGTAATTTGTTAAATTTTACATGACAAACATTTTATATCCTGTCATGTTACCCGAAATGGCCAGATTTAAATGATTGGGTACATTTTTTTATTAAGCCAAGCAGAAGTGGTCTAGTCATAGGATTTCAAAATCGTGCTTTTGCTATTACACATCCTAGTGTAGCATATTTATATAGGGTATATAAATGTCCATTTCCAAGTAAACTTGCACTTGCTGTATTATAATCAGAAGTGCAGCCAGATGCCATTGTGAAATGAAGGTGTGTTCCCTGCTATGTGCATGAGCGCTGTATAGAAGTGACATCAAGAAATAAATGAAACTTAGCTAGTTCCTCTAACTATATTTAATTTTGACATGTGATTTTTAAATTTTTATATTAAAAATTGGTACACCAGCAAGTTTAGACCAAGCCTTAAGCAAAATTTTGTATTACTCTCAATAATGAAGTAGAAGCTACATAATTGCCAGCAAATAAATGTCAAAAGAGTGTATGTTAAGACCAGGGGTTGGCAAAGTATTGCCCACAGGCCAAATCCAACCCTCCACTTGTTTTTTGTATTGTCTGTGAGCCAAGAATGATCTTTACATTGTTAAATGGTTAAAAAATAATAATAATCAAAAGAATTCTATTTTGTGACACATGAAAATTATATGAAATTCAAATTTTAGTGTCCATAAATAAAGTTTTATTGGCACACAGCTATGCTCATTCACTTACACATTGTCTGTGGCTGTTTTTGTACAATGGCAGAGTTGAGTGGCTGTGACAGACCATCTGACCACAAAGCTGAAATTATTTTTATTTTTTGGCCCTGAGTTTGCTAACCTGGTTTAGACTAACTTTTTGCATTATAATCTGTGTCCTTAATTGCCTGTATGTTGAAGGGTCAATGGGATTTCCATTTCTAAGCGAGACATGGATCACTTTAACCATATATTGCAGAGAATTAGTTTCTCTCCAGAGTTGTTTGACATTTATGAAGCTACCACAGGAAGCTTTGAGTAACCACCGCAGCATCTAAGAATCTATGTGGCGTTTATTGTAAGTAAAACAAGTTGTATTTTGATTGTTTATTTGATAAACTACTGAGAACTTTGTGTCAAATTTAAATTGTTCTTATATTGAATTTCCATGATAAGGGTTAGAGAAATGCATATTATACATGATCATACATGAAAATGAACTTTTTGCATACCAATGCCTACAAATAGGCATTTACTTTCCAGGTAACTCCAGAACATTTAAGAATCTTGATGTTGAAATTTGATAAGATTTACTTAGATAAACAATAAACAAAAAATATACTCTATGAAATAATTTTAAAATACTTGGTAATTCAGTGACAATAAAAGTAGTTTAAAAGAATCTTTGCTTATATAAAACAACTAGTTTTTCACTTCTGTTTTAATTAAGGCTAATAGTGAAAATTAAGTTATGGGAGTGAAGATGGAATAGAGTACAGTTGCTAATACCAGATTTCTTTATATTTATTTACTTATAGTGTAGACAGTTATATTGGAGAGAGATAAGCACAGAGGCCAAACTTTGCTGTATTTGAATGCATCTTTGTCCCTTAGGGGTTTGATCTTCAATATTTTTGCCTAACTTTTGACCATGGTTTTTCACTTTTAAAAGACCTATTTCACATAGCATGGTTTTTGAGAAATAAATGAGGTTAAGTGAATGATACTTGGATGATGTTAAGCAAATACTGGATTTTTTTTTTCCCCCTACCTTTAATGATGTTCCCAGTAAGACAAATGGTGAGGCATTTTTTTTTCTTTGGAAAAATATGGAACATTATAGAGGCAGGTTTTGTTGGATTTGGCAGTCTTAAATCACTTTTAATTTCCTTGGAAGAAAAAAATAAAAATCCCAGAAATAGGGGCAGAAAGGGGACATATATAATACTTTCAACAATAAAGAATTATTATTTTTTTAATCATAGGTAAGTACTTAGTACATCAAGATTTAGGCTTTAATCTTTTAAAAAAATATATTTTATTCATTTTTTTTTACAGAGAGGAAGGGGAAGGGATAGTTTAGAAACATCAGTGAGAGAAACATTGATCAGCTGCCTCCCGCACACTTCCAACTGAGGATGTGTCTGCAACCCAGGTACATGCCCTTGACTAGAATCAAACCTGGGACCTTTCAGTTCGTAAGCCGACGCCCTATCCACTGAGCCAAACCGGGCAAGGCTTTAATTTTTTAATTTATTGATTTTTAGAGAGAGAGGAAGAGAAACATTGATTTGTTGCTCCATTTATTCATTCACTGATTGATTCGTGTGTGTGCCCTGACAGGATCAAACCCCACAACCTTGGATTATTAGGACTATACTCTAACCAATTGAGCTACCTAGCCAGGCAAGATTCAGGCTTCAGATCATGATTAAATACAATAAATTGAAAGGTACAGGTAACCCTGGGGCAGTGCTACAAATGGGGTTGAATTCTTTTTGAAAATAGATTAATAAAAAGCTATTGTAGAACACTTGCTTATTTTTTATTAAAAAATTTTAATTGAAGTATAATTGACAGCATTATTTCTAGGTATACAACATGATGATTTGATATTTTATGTGTTTTGAAATGATCACAACAAGTCCAGTTAACATTTGTCATTATATATAGTTAACAATTTTTTTAAAAAATACATTTTTATTGATTTCAGAGAGGAAGACAGAATTATCAGTCAGCTGCCTCCTGCATGCCCCCTACTCGGAATTAAACCATGACCTCCAGGTTGGTGTTCAATCATTGAGCCACACTGGCTGGACAACAATTTTTTTTTTTTTTAAATCTTACTATGAGGACTTAAAAAACTTGCACTCAGCCAAAACTGGTTTGGCTCAGTGGATAGAACATCTGCCTGCAGACTGAAGGGTCCCAGGTTTGATTCTGGTAAATGGCATGTACCTTGGTTGCAGGCACATCCCCAGTAGTGGGTATGCAGGAGGCAGCGAATAGATGTTTCTCTCTCATCAATGTTTCTAGCTTTCTATCCCTCTCCCTTCCTCTCTGTAAAAAATCAATAAAATATATTCAAACAAACAAATAAAAGTGCTCTCATATGCTTTCAAATATACAATACAGCATTAACTATAGCCAGAATGCTGTACATTACATCCCATGACTTATTTTATAACTGGAAGTATGTACTTACCTTGTAACCTTCACCCATTTTGCCCACCCTGACCCCTGCCTTTGGTTTCTGCTCCTGCATTGAGTGTCTGTCCCCCTGGTGGTCAGTGTGTGTCATAGCTGTCGGCTGCATGGCCGGTCGCTTAGGCTTTTTATATACAGTAGGCCCTTGGGTTACATCGGAGATCCATTCCTACGGTGCAACATAATGCGGTAATTTGGAACCCACCTACATAAACACCTACGTCACTCACATGGAGCACATACACAGCAGTAATGAAGTGAAACAGTAAAAACAATTTAAAAGAAAGATAACAGTTCCTGACCTTTACCTGTGGTAAATAAGTAATGAAAAACATAAAGCACATATGTACATATGTTGAAATGATGAAACTTGTTTTTATATAAATAAATGGGAGATGGCATCGAGTCTGTTGTAACCCGAGAACTGTCTGAATATAGATAACCAAATTATTACAGTTCAGATAGGTTCTAAAACATTTCCATTGGAATGGAATACTTTATTTAAAACCTAATTAAGGAAACTTGGTTCGTTCAGCTAACTGGTGTGCATTGAGTGGCCACGGCTGCCATTCCTGGGGCAGGGGGGCACAGAGAGGGCTGTACTCCAGGTCTTGAGAAAAAATACGGCCTACAATGACAGGACCCCTGGGGGCCACCCACAGAGATAACATCTTCCAGTGAGTCGGGCTTTGTGGTGTGGTTGTGTTGGTGCCCTCCACTAGAAGTGATTACTGAAGTAATAAAGCATTTACCAAAGTAAAAGCCACTTCATTATTACATTATAGTTATTTATTTTATTTTTTTATTGATTATGGTATCACATAATTGTCCTTATCCCCCATTCCCATCCCAAACCCCTCCCTACATATGCCCCCATCCCCCTGTTGTCCATGGCCACTGGCCAGGCTCATATGCATGCACACAAGTCCTTTGGTTGATCTCTTCCCCTTACCCCCATCCTCTCCTTTCCCTCTGAGGTTTGAGAGTCTGATCGTTGCTTCTCTTTCTCTGGGTCTGTTTTTGTTCATCAGTTTATGTTGTTCATTATTTCCTCTAGATGTGTGAGATCATGTGATCCAAGAAATACCCTTATAAGAACCTAAACTGCAACAAGCCATAATGGTTATGCTGAGAGTCAAATGAATCAGTCTGTAGTGAGTTCCTTTCTGGGCCAACAGTTCTTTTGAGTCCCAATTTCAATGTCAAATAGTTCCTTATGTGTACATGTCAGCCATGATATTTCAGATCTGGTTGGTGGACAAATGGTAATGCAGGTCCGCCCGTCTCTGGTTTGGTCCTGGGCATCCTTCAGCAACCCGCAGCTGCTGTCTGCTGGTATGCTGAGGCGTTGTCAGCA